TATCCCATAATGCACCTTATCATTTGAAGCAAATTTTTCTTTTTTTTTCATTGGCCGAGAGCCCACCACATGACCAACAAAATAACTGCCTACAAATAATGGTCTGCTCAAGCGCAATGCCGTCCAACTGTGTTTGGCTGCAAATATTTTTCTACTCATGTGTAAAGGAAACCGTGCTTTTCTCCTTCTTACGATCACTCTTGTGTGAAAATGGCAGATCGCTTCACTTCTCATGGGTATTAACCCATTCGCTCCTGGAGATTTTGCCGAAAAACACATTTTGAAGCTAGTCGAGTGGTTTTCTGGTCACTGTCGTGCTATAAAGGGCTAAAACTTACCACAAACCGGTTTACAGGTCGTACACTTGGCGGCCTTCTGATCCAGATGCAAAACATCAGCTTGCGAAGTTCCGGCATGCGCAGAAAGCAAAATTTCGAGATAGTTTTTGGGTTTAAAAGTGACACAGCAGTCTTGACTTTTACTTTTCGCTTTCTCTCCTCCCTTCTTTTTTCGCTTTTCTTGCCTTATTTTTTTTTTCTCTTGCTGGGCATTTAGTAGGCCTCATTTTGGTGGGAAGAGTTTTTAGGAAAGCTTTTACGATCTTAGGATTAGGTGAAAGGAAAGGTAGGTGGGCAATGGAACAAGATTTCCATGGAGATTTTCAGGTCAATGTCACGTGGTTTTTTGCTTCTTTTTCCGGTGTTCTTGACTGAATTGTGCTCATTTTGGTATGGTTTGAAAGATCTCTTCACTCTACAAAAGTTAGCCAAGAAAGTTGTCCTTGACCGTTAAAACTGATGATGTCACAAAGGGTAGAAAGGACCTGGATCCGCACGGGTGGTTACGGGCGGTTCAGGGGCGAATGGGTTAATTAAACAAACAAACTCAAGCTCGGTGATCGAGCAGAGCAGTGTTGTTAAAAATTCCATTTTGGAAAAGCTTTAGCAATTTCAAACTTTGTGAAGGGGGAGGCAGGGGGAATTGACCATTAAGTCTATGTCCCAACTGTTTTGATTGGAGTTGTCTACAACATACATTTAAGAGACTGTATAACCCTCAACACCTTTTGCATGAAGGTGCTTTTATGTTCACGGTTTTTTAAAACGAGGGAATTAGAAGAAACGCATCACTATTTCGAAAACAGGGATAGGATATTTTATAAAAAAGGTTGCAAAGAAGCTGACTCGACAATGACGTATACCAATAATTTGGACCGTTGTAGTTTGGCTGGCTTTGCCTTATGGCAGGCGCTGGCTCTGAAAATGTGTATAAAACACCCTTATCAGATGTGTATATAGAGCAGTTTTGATTTCCTTTTACACCCAAATCCATTCGTTTTCATTGAGGCTTTAAAAAACACCTGCTAAAAATATCCTGAACATGGTGAGATAATTTTATTTCTGTCCTAAATCTGAGCATTCTCTAAAGAATGCATCAGTCATGTTACCCCTATGTAGCACAGAAATGTGTAGCCTGTTCCTGGCATTCAGATAGTACAGTGCAGTGGTCAGTGGGGAGCGAGTTAAATTGTACACTGGGAAAATGGGGGGGGGATGGGGGGCAAGAGCGAGAGAACCTCCCCCTTTCCCCCTCTAGTCTGCCCTCATTTTTTTTTTCTTCTTGAATTTTTCTTCAGCACTCTACTTTCTCAGTTAAGACAATCACCATGGGAAGATCTTAACCTGTGCTGAGGAAAAGCTACAAATTGGTGTTTTAAACAAACCACTCCCCAACAACTGGCCATTTGAGCGAGCAAATAGCAATTGACTATTAAAATTAATTTTTTGACCATAACTCTCTGTAGATTTTCCCATCAAGTTCTAGTACTGTGTATTCTTATTATTAGAGAGTTTTAGAGTCCCATTTATGGCAAATGGGAAATTGTACCACATGACCAAGTTTTCCCTTTACTTTTCATATACTGTTTAATTTATGAACAAAAAGGTGGTTTTGAATGTTCATCTGCAAAAATTTATTTGGATAGTTTTAACCAGGTCTTCTCCTACTTTGAGAAATTGTCAACTTGAATCTCACATTTGATGTTTGCCACATAAATGTAATTATTCTAAATCCCTCCACTGTCTTGGAAAAGAAAACAGTTATTGAAGGGTTGAGTATTCACGTATGGGTATGAAATGACATGAATTACACTTAGAACACCTGTTTATCTATAAAATTTTCAATTTCTAAGTATGTCAGGATTTTAAGTTTTCTCTTACTGCACTTTTCAAAAACATGCGAAGCTTGAAGTTCAAAAGCCAACTGACGTTTGCATTTTTTGCTGCCATCAATCATCTCAGTAGACCTCTTACGAAACAGAACTTTACTTAAACAGGTTCATATTAATATTTTCAAACAAGAGAATTTGTACCTTACAGCATCTTCAATTCTTGAAATAATTGATTTAAAACTTGCAAAACTGTAGCAATCCTGTAACTACGACCAGTATTTATAGTGGAATCTCTTTCTTTCTCTCTTTTCTCTGAGTAATAATTTTGTTTTGCTATTTTCTTTGCATTTTTTTTCATTGCTGCTATCATTATTTTAATTTACTATTTACTGTAATCTTAACTGCTGCTAATTTGAAATCCTTGCAAGTAAATATGTATAGCGCTAAAAACCCTAGTTGCAGTAATAAGCCTAACTTAATCATACCTACCCACCCTGACTAGTTTTAACTATTTTTGTGGGTTGGTACCATTCAAATTGTAAATATCTGTTTCTTAATAAAGTGTGTTGTTGTTGTTTTTCAAAAGGTCATGGTTTGTGATCTGTGATTGGTGGATTTCGATCCTTTCTGTGTGTTTCTGTGTTTCAAGGTTTGTTGCTTGTGATCATAATTATGATTGACGGCAGCGAAAAACGCAATTGTGTTGGCTGCTTTTAAACTTTAGAGTTCGCGTGTTTGTGAAAGTGCAGTAGTGTAAAAGCACTAAAACAGGATATATATGGGCGGTTTTCGAGGACATTGCAAATTTCAGAAACCAAGTTTCAATTTCAGTCCCTGGACAAACATTTAATTTATGGTAAAATGTACCAAAGCAGAATTTTTTTAAGCAGTTGGCCATAAGTTCTCATTAATCCAAAGACAATGGTTGCTAAATATGAAACCTTTCAAAAGCCCTTTCACATTTGCATTTTTTCAAAATCCCATTCTTGTGCATATGATTCAATGGCGCCAATCGAGCTCGGAGTGGACAGGGCTGAAAGCCTCCACGAGTGAAATTCGAAGATAAACACAATTCGAAAACAGTAGTTGAGCGCGAGACACAAATACAAAGCTGCACTTGAACAGGGTCTTAAAACAATGCCCATTTTCCTGTGCGATGGTCGCGATCGAGGGCAAACAAAAAGGGCAACCCTTATAGTTTCCAATGTATCATTGCCCGATCCGAAGAAGCCCACTTTGAACATAAAATTAATTTGTTTAAAACCAATGGCAGCATTCGCGATCTCACGGAAAACAAGGGGAACTTTAAACAGCCCATACCTTTTGGATCACAACTGCAATTGCGATTTAAATTACGTTTACTGAACATCAAACTGATCGCATATTTTTCTAGTGCAGATTCGGTATTCCAACACTGATTCAAACAACAAGCGTGTGTCAGACAATTGATCAGCTGAGAATACCATCCAAATTAAATTAAACCTTTGTCACCTCAGACAAAGCGGACGAAGTTCGCTAAAAGAATGTCCGGTTTATTTAATTTCGCATTTACATTACAACTTACCTGAAAAACAAAGTTGAATAGCCGGATTTGAAAAGTGTTCGCGATTTGTGATGGTTTATTTTTATTTCCACTTCTGGATGTGACGTCATCTACGCCGGTAACGGCCGCTGGCCATTTTCTCGCAGTAACACGGGACGAAAAAATTTCTGAGGGGAGGGGGCGGATGTACACAGGCTACAGGAGAGAAAAAGAAGTGATAGCCAAATGGAAAAAAAAACTCCTTGCAAAACAAACACCTACAAAGGCCCATTTGCCAAATCATACTTTTACAAAAACAATTTTAAGGTACATTCTTCCACCTGAATTGAATTTTCCGACCATCTCCTGACAGGACAGCCCAGGAGCCATATGGTCTGCCATTCATTACACCAACAAAAAGGACATTATTCAAAGTTTATTTAAAAAGCATTCATTAACATAACAATAACAAACATACATAATAAATAATAAATTAAATAAATTTTACAAATTTTAGTTAGCAAAAATATTTGTCTCTCTGGAAAATCTTATATTAATTTCTTTGACTCAAGTTTCTGTAAGATTTCATCTTGTTCCCTCCCATCAATGCCACCAACTTATTAACAAGCTAGAATTATTTCATACGAAGCAACAAATGCAGAGTTTATGGTAAGTATAAAACATTATGCGTGCTCGATGTGATATCAATGTGATTACAGTATTTCAACATTCTATTAATTTTGTCAAAAATTTAACCTTACAATTATCAACTGGAAAATCACAACCATAGTGACCACAATCATAAATGCAAGCTTCAATTAAAGAGTGAACTATGTTTGCTATGGGATAATTCATAAGCGTAAAATTAATAACATAAACTTAGCTTGAACACAATTTTTTTTTTCTTTTTTTTTTAAATTCAAATATAAAACTTCATCTTAGTAAAGTTAACTGTGCGGCCAAATGAGTCATCAAAAAGAAGATAAGCTCATCAATGTCAATCTTGTTCAATCAGAAAATTAGTGATCCTGTATGAGATGGCCTGCAAAAAGGGCATTTTCAGACAGGTGAGGGCAAGCATGAGGCAGTTTTTATCGCCTCCCTTCCATCTCGCATCTGTTACTTCAAACACACTCCATGTCTGCCTCACACTTGCCCTGAAAAATACAATAAAATAATGCCTGCTCTGCCGGGTATTATCTAGCCTTCCACACAGACCTTCTTAGGGGTTCATGATGCGATCCTTGTGGGACAGGAAGGCGTGACGAACAACTCAGAACGTCTGCGTGGGAGGCTAGGTATTATCACCTACTCCCTGGACTGGCTGTACAAAGGATGACGACATATCGGGCAGGTGCGGCTGAAAAAGACAAAAAAATGTCATTACCAATTATTACCAAAGACAGTTCTAATGAATTATTATCACCAAGGAAAATGCATAGGTCAAGGGGGGGGCACCACAGAAAACAACAAAAACTGGAACAATGACAACCACTGAACCTAAACAGCCTCGATGTATGGTTTGTGCATTACAACATTTCATAGATCTCTGATCACTTCAAAATTCTACAGAACTTGAGCTTAAAAAGCAGTGTTAAAGTAGATTCTCCAAGATGGAGACTTCGTGCTTGAGTCCATAGGAACTCCCCTGAGGACACACAATGAAACCAGGTCGAGGTTTGGGAGTGCAATTTCACACATCTAATTACTGTATTTTGAGTTGTTGTCTTGAGTTTTTGGTTGATTTTCTCTCATAAAAAAAATATACTTTCGAGTTCTAGTGCAGTTGAATATTTTCATAGTAATTGCACGATATGTACAAATTTCTATTCACCCTTTCACTGCCAAATGTGGCCAAAGGCAAAATTCGACCAAATTTGCAAATTTCATTTTCTAAACTTTTGACAAACAAATAGCACCATCTGAAAGTACAGGTAGAGAGCTTTCATTTGAATGGTCACATCATAGGATTTCGTCTGCAGACTCAAAAGTTAGAGTCACCTTACAAAACTCCATCAAACAATCTGGCAGCGAACGTGTTAATGAAAGAGGAGAGGGGAGACCAAAGTGAGCAACTTCAACTACTTGATGATATCTTTCCTCCAGTATTTGCACTCTTTGCACCTACAGGTAAGTGTTTTTTCTAACTTTTCAAGGAATTATTTGCTGAGAAATTTCTCTACAATTCCTTTTGTGTGGCTCTGTTTAGAAACCTCCAGGTCTGACATAGACAAGCAGAAGAGCCATTTGCTTTATTTTCATTCTTCTCAATTTCCTTTGAAGGTGTACTAAATGACACTCGCCTTAGTTTCTTAACATAATGGTACTTTTTTATTTTAACAAATGAATAACCTGATAACTTACATGCCGTTTTGTATCATAGCGATGGCACATTCTCTGTGGACCTTGTGTGAACATGGTAATATCTGACAACCACTGAATGCATCCTGCAAATAATGTAAGCAACAATCAGCATTGTAACTTACAGGTGTCTTGGAATGATATCATAAGAGAGTATAAATACAGCAAACAGCAAAAGTCAGATTCAAGTTGAGAATTTCTCAAAATAGAAAATGAGCAGATAAAATTCAAATTGCTAAAAAATTGCATGAAACTCCTAATTAAGGTGTAGAAATAATGAACTGTAAACGACAAGTATAAAGAGGAAACTTGATCATGTGGTGCAAAAATTAATTCACATTTACCATTTGACGTAAACTTGATTCTTAACCTCTCTATAGTATTATAATAACAAGGATATTTTTCTCAATAACTCATCCTTTGTTAAAGACCACTTTCTACTCACACTCAAAAAGGGAGACCTCGTTGTCAAGGCTTTAGAAGCTTTTTACTAAAACATCAATTAAACCTTACCTCCAAGCAGATGCAGCATTCATCATGACCTGAATCTGGGCGACATTTGTGATTTCCCTCAAGTCGTTTGTCTAAACATACATTACACACTTCACAGTGGAATGACTTATCCTGATGAATCCTAAATGACAAAAAACAGTATTATTTAATAACATTAATTTAAAAAGTGATCCAGTATATCCACCACACAGTCACACTCTTTTTGCTTCATTTATTTTATCCTATAGCCCATCCAAACACGTCTTGAGACATTTTACTAAACTAGCCATGGAAAATTGCTAGTGGATCAAACAAGACAGCCACTTCTAGGAAGAAAAGACCTTTGCTGACATAATTATTTCGGGCTAGCTGCTTCCATGTGATCAGACAGTGGGGAATAGTGCAAAATAGACCTGCTAGTCCTAAGAGCCATTTTTTGTTGCTCTGATCTCTCCTTTGTAGCCTGTCTACTACCTGAACACAAAAAACTAGCCTGTGTAATGACCCCCCCTCCTCTTAGGAAAAAAGGAGGCTACAAAAAACAGGAGGCAAACATCTTCTAAGAAGTTTATCACTAACAATATTATGCCCTTTATTGAAGTGTCTGTGTGTTCCTCAGGAACAGTGGTTATTAATTACAGACATAATTTTGGCAGAATAATAACAAAACTGTGAAAGGTTTGAACACAGGAGTCATTTCAAAAGTAGGTTGACTTTGATCGTCCGGGTGAACGTAGTCCTGAATAGGACTCTTGTTGTTGACAGTGACTGACATTTCGAAAACCTGTGCGGTAGTCATCTTCAGAGTCAAAGTGAGTTTTATCACGTCAGTTGATGGTATTATACTCTGGTTATTGATCTGATTGGTCAATTATGTCGCGACGTGGTTGGTCATCTGTCAGTTAAGCCATGATGTTATTGGCTATGAAAACTCACTTTGACTCTAAAGATGACTACTGCACAGGTTGTCGAAACGTCACTTACTGTCAACAACAACAGTCCTATTCATGACTACGTTCAGCCGGACGATCAAAATCAACTGATCAAACTCAAGACTTCACTCTCACTGTAGCTGGTCTACATCTGCACTCATAATTTTAGGCCTAGACTTTTGATAGTTTTTTTTTCTTAGTAATGCTTGATTTTCCTTTTCCCACTTTTAAATTATTCACAATTGTAAATAGTTTTCTATCGTGGACATATATTTCGTTTTTAATTTGTAAACAATACAATATAATTTAAAATTGTAAATATTACTTATTGTTCTGATACTTAAATAAAGATTGGTTTATTATTGTTAACTCAACCTACTTTAGAATAACAATAGAGAATTCCAAGTCACCTACCTGCAAATTCCACATTTTTCACAATGATATGGATTTTTGTCGACACTGGTGAAATGCTTGCAGATGGGACAGAAATATGCTGACATTTTGCCCCCACACTTACGACACTTAGCACTATCTTCACCAATCTGTAAAAACAACACAAACAAATATTGTCAAATATGGTGTTTATGGGATTGAATATTACATTAAGAGGGCAGCACTTCATAAAATACTAGGACTTATTAAGGAACAAAATAACAAATTAACCCATTTCTCACTACACTGATGCATGCATGAACAAGCAGAAATTCACGCTTCAATTTTCACAGAAGTAAAGCCAAAAAAAATTACTGCCAACTCAGAAAAATGTGAATGTTACTGCAGTGACCAGTCACAAAAAAGTTCCGGATGTAAAAGCAAACCTCAATACTAAAACTAAATATTATATTGTTGCAGTCTGTGGAATAGGTTTCTCACTCCTTATTGAGTTTCCTCACAACAAAATGATATCCTATACATATCTCTGGTGTTCACAGGTTTGTGGGTGTACCAGTAGTATGATTTTATAATTATTATAATGTTGAGATTCAATTCTATTTTTAAAGAATTAAAAACAAATTTATCATTCTTTGTTTTCAGCTAGTAATCATAAATTTCTATTATACTTTAAGATGAGAATTAACCCTTGAAATCACCCAAAATCACATTGAAAGTTTCACTTTAAAAAAGTGTGTACTGGGTACAGGTATAATGTAGAATAAATTAATATTTTCAAATTTAAGTTTCAGGAAACATGAAAACAAAGCTTACCTCCTGTTCATGCTGACAGTGAGAGCATTTCAGATGAGTGGCATGACAAGCTTTAGCCTCTTCATTGTCACAAGCTTTGGAGATGTTGTGGCAGTGATGACATGGATAGAATTGTGTGCAACAAGGGAATCGCACTCTGCAGTGCCGCTGATAATGTTCACATAACCACTGCGAACGTGCATTGATTGCTTCTTGTTGTTGTGGCCAGTTTTCAGCTTCCCGCAACTCTCTCTCTTCTCTCTCCCGCCTTTCTCGAGCTCTTTGTTCTCTTATTAACTGTTCTTTCCTTTCTATTTCCCTTCCAAACTGTTCACGTTCCTCTCTCTCCCGAAGAACGCGTTCAACAAGGGCACAAGCTTCTGCGACACGCCGTTCAAGAGCAAGTAATGAGTTGTCTGAGGCTTCTATAGAATCAGTACCAAAGTCTGTATTGTTTAACGCAGAATTATTGTCGGCGTCACCTGTATGAGGTTCTAGAACACATGTATCATGTGTAGATCTCGCTGCCAAAACAACATCAAATGTTGTGGAATTTCCAAGCTGATACCGTGCAGAGGAATCTGCATCATCATCAATGTTTCCGGTTGTTGTCCTTGAATTTCCAAGTGCAAAATTTGGTTTCTGAGCTGGCTCATCTGTGCCCTGATTAGAGATAAAAGCTGAAGTGGCATCATTACCAGCAAACATATTTGCATCATGAGCAGGGGCTGCAAGCTGCTCACTTAAAAAGCTACTAAATCTTGGTGCATTATGTACAGGATCCCCAGGTAGAGGGTCAGCAAAACTGGAACCAGCCATTCCTGGATAGCTATTTACAACAGGATCACTTGCTATGGGAGGAAATGGCATTTGCTTTGCTGATGACAAATAAGTCTGTCTGTCAAAATGGTCAACTCCTGCAAATCTACTGCTGTTATGTACAAAATCACTTTGAAGAGAATAGTTGTCTGCAGCAGTTGAAGTATTTCTTGATAAATAGTTGCTATACAATGAGGAAGAATCATTTCCTAAATGGCTTGGCCAAAGTTCTGAGTTGTCACTGAAAGGTTCCACATAAGAAGAGCCACCCAGGTGTCGCCTAGATTCACTTACAAGTGAATATCCAGTTCTATCATGTGGCTCTGTCCCAGATGCAGCCTGGCAATCTCCAAAGTAAGGCTGGGCTCTGCTAAATTGAGATATGTCACCGTCAATAAAGGAAGACCCCTGAGATGGAATGTCATTGAAGAGAGAACCAATATCAGTTTGATAAATACTGTCATGAAGTGCCTTGTCTTGTGTGTGTCTCGCTAAGAAATCACCAGCTAAGCCATCGGTTATATACACAACAGGCTCTGTTGGTACCTGTCCATCAACTGTACGTTGAGGTTCCTTTGGTCTGGCACCTAGACATTTCCAGTCGGTTGCATCTGATGATGGTGGAGTAATTTCTCTTTCGCCTTCTGAAAACACATGCTGCTGTGTTGAAAAAACACTTCCTCCATTTGCAATATTATGAGTTCTGGCAAGGATTGAATCTGAACTAATTAAAGAATCTCTTTTTGTACACTCAGGGATTGTCTTTGTGCAATATGGAACTGCCATTACTGCCCCATCACAGAAATCATGTGACTTAACCACTCTTTCTTTGCCATTGCCGGCACATGCTCCTTTTAGCTGGCCATCTTCACCTGCTGGCTCGTTGCCTGGTCTGGCCATCACATGAGAGATCCCTTGAGTATCCCATGTTGCAGGACTGGGGTTGCTGTAACCAGAGGCTGACTGGGAACCATCTGACATCACTTGAAAGTCATCAACTTCACAAGAAGCTTGTAAAGTGCTGTTAGAAGTTGCTGGTGCAGTCTTGTCAGAATTTGCCAACAAATCAGATGAGCTGCGACTGGAATTTGACACGAGCATAACATCTGAATGGATGGGTGACTGAGGACTGTCTTCAACCAGCACAACATTTTCTACATTCTTACTTGACAAACACATGTCACTGTCTTCCTCAACTGAGCTTCCACTGGATAAAATTGATGAGCATTGGCTTTGACCATGATCTATTTCATCTGCTCTTAGTGATGTTCCATTTTCATCAATGCCTGTGAGCTCAACATAATTTTTTGAGGAAGGTGCATAATTCATCTGTGTCTTCATTTCAGGTCCATCTGTCTGTTCATGCAAAATGTTGTTGTGCACAAGTGCAGATTTGCCTGAACCTGAAGCATGGTCTGACTCAACAGAACAGTTTGATCCTATAAAAACAACAACAAAAGGAATTATGCAATGTGAGGGGATTCTTTGTACTGACTTGCAATATCGACAAATAAGAACCTGCATAGTCCAGGGTTAGACGTTGCGACCTGTGGGGTCACCAATGCGACCAGCTTTTACTCAGTGGTGACAAATTTTCACGCTTGGTCGCCAACCTGGCCCCCAAGATAGGTGACTTTCTTCTTTGGAAAAACGTACACTTAAATGATAATCCATTATCCTTCTCAAAACTAACGGATAGCTAACAGTTTTTCTAACGCTCTAACATTTTGCCCAAACATTCTAATGGTTTGTCCAAACCCTCTAACGATTTGTCAAAACGCTTTGGTGACCACAAATGAAAACTTGGGGGCCAGCTGGCCCCAAGATTTTTCCTGAAAGTCGAGCACTGCATACATGTACATGACATGATTAGCTCCATGTTAAAGGTGCAAAAATACTTAAACCTCAAATTAAAGGACATGCTTTTGCTTTGTACTCCCTTGACAGTTGTGATAATTTTGGATTATCAACAGAGTCATAGGTACCTGGTTCCATTGGCATGGGGGCTCATGGCTGAAAGGCACAGGTTATAATTAACCAGCAGCCAGGATGTGACTCTATCTAGGTACTGGCGTTGCCTTCTCCACTAAGGTAAGCAGTTATTTAATATTCTCAGCAGCAAATGCAAGTTAATAATGGCAACAGGACTGAGTGGAGTCCAATTCGGTCTCTAATCATACAAGGGACAAATGAAATTTGTTAAATCATGAGAATGTGGTTACAGACTGAATTGGACGATACAAAGTTCTGATACCAATATTTATTATGACTATAACAAAATTTGTGATATTTTAGGCTGCTAGCAGTGAAAAAAAAGCCATTTACATGTAAGTGCACAATTGCGATTGCATACTGTCCAATTACTTAATTAGTGCTGAAATGAGGCCAGTTGATAGCCAATGAGATTTGAGAATTTCGTTTTTGTTATGATAAATAGTTTAATCAGTACATTGAAAGCTCAGCTGTACATCTCTGGCTTACCAGGCTCTTGTACTGCACTTGCCCCACCAAGGAGCCTTCCACGGCGTCTTGCCTTTTCTTCCAGGAACAGAAATCTCCCTAGATCAGCTTGAAGCTCACGTTTCTCCTCCTCGCTCTCCTTCAATTTTTCTTCAAGTTTTCTAAACTGTTGTTCTAATTCATGATGATCCCTCTGAGAAGCTGCCAACTCATCCTCCAAATTGGCCAGCAGAGTTCTAAAAAAATCCACAGTTGCAGTTCCTGTGTCAACTTTGTCTGAACTTGCCCCAGAGAATGGTCCTTGAATACTCTGAAGGGGTTCTTCAAGCTTTGAACTTTGATTTGCACATAAATCTTCAACACACTCGAGTTGCTGAGAGCTTGCTGTCATTACTAATACTTGAGTTCTTGTCCTTTGAAGAAAAATTCTGTACTGCAGTTTTCTGATCAGAAGAACTTATCTTCAGTTCCTCAGGTCCATTGATGTTTTCAATGGTGAAAGGTTTTGACTGTTTAGTATTCTGTGTTTCAGAAAAAGAACAACTTTGTTCTGCATTTAAGCATTCCTTGTAACTTGATTGTGAAAATGCACATGTATCGACAGGCACTGAAGGCTCCTTTGGTAAACTAACAGACAGTCCACTGCACTTTGTAATTCTTGATGAATTATCATCACAAGAGGAATCTGCCTTGCATTCCTTCAGTTTGTCAATGGATGATAAGCTCTCACTTGGGGATGTTGTTGATGTGAATAGGCTATCACCAGCTAAAGAGAAAGTAGACGGGCTTGCAGGCACTGAGTTCAATGAAGATGAAGTAGCACTTGAAAAGATACTTGAAGACAGACTGGAATTATGTGTAATGTGGCTGACACACCCATTAACATCATTTGAAGTGGGTTCACCATTGTTCAATTCTTTCTCTCTAGTATGCAATACAGGTCTTGACCGAATCAGAAGGCACTCTAGAAGGCATAGGCCAACATCTACATGTTGACAATTGTCACAGGGATGGCATAAAGGATGGATGATGTCTGCATTCTGTTATCAAAAAGAATACAAACAAAATAATGATCAACAAAATTGATGCTACCTGCTTAATATAAACACTGATTGTGTTTCAATAAAGGATTGAACTAATTTTTCTGGCCTTGGCTAAGCATCCAGCATTTTTTAGACAGGTTCCTTTTGTAGGTACCGAGGCACAGATTATGTACAGCAAAAGAAAGCGTTCAATACAACCAAACAAGAGCCATTGTTTGGTTCCTCTTTTTCTTTTGCGATAATGTTTACCTGCAGAAAGACTATTTTTTTAACACAGCTCCTGTAAATTAAGCCCACTGTAAATCTGGAGCAAAGCTTTACTCATCTTTATACCGCTATTTCGAGAAAGGTTAATTGTCAGAAAAATGTTCACGCGACAATCCCGAAAGGTAATATGGGATATGATCAATACACTGTTCCTAACGACTGTAGCTGTCGAACCTACTTTTGTTGTTTTTCATTAGCATTCGCGAACATATGTCCGTGCCCTCTCGTGCCATTCTTTCAAATTTCTTTGGAGAACAGGGCAGACAAAACCACCCACAATACCTTTTGGGATTGTCGCGTGCACTTTTTCAGACAACTTTTCTCGAAACAGCTGTATATTAGGTTAAATTTCACACAGTCATGGACTGTTTTTGTTTCACCACAGGGTCCCCACACAATCTATTAGTAAATGTATTGGCCACTTTGAGGTTGCATGGGAGACTTGGTAGAGATCACCCCAAAACAGTCCCACAATGCACTAGACATCCATCTCGACCCAGTCTCCCACACAACCTCAAAGTGGCCAATTAGATTTACCGTTTGCTTCATCTGATGTAGCAATATATCACCAATTGGGTCAATAGTATTCTTGGTCGTTGTGTAGCTCTTTGAAATATACTGATTTATAATGGACCCCAAAATTACATTACAGATTTCAGATTCCTTCTGCATTCTTGCATGCCAGATCAGTTTCTCAGAATAAATTGAAGTAGATATCTTCAAAGCAATTTTATCCATTCCAAGATTTTCAATCTGACCAAATACAGCGAAGTTGCTATAAAAAATTCACTGCGCTCATTACACATATAGGAATGCCAATTTAAAATAAACACTAGTTATGGGAACAACTAACAGATTCATTTTTCAAATTCATTAATAGGATCTTGGGCGGGGGGGTACACTTGTCCTGCCTTGACCAGCTGTAACCCATTTTTCTTATTCACTAACTGAGATTAAAATTTCATTTCTATTTTTTCATTAATCCTTATTGTTTAAGATAGGTTTTACCTTATTGTGTAATTTGCCAACTGTCCATTTTTTCGAATCTGCTTCTGCACCCCCAGAAATACTACATAGACATGTCATCGTTGAATTCCAAGTTTCCAATGTTGCAACAGAACCAACTGAGTCTTTGTCGACACTTTGGCTACAGTTACCATCATGATCATCATTGCCAAGAACAAAGCCATGAACACCTTCACAACCCAGCTGCACAGAGGACTCAATGTCAACATTCAAAATTTCAAATAATGACTCAATGGTAACAGTCAGCATATTTGTTATTGAGGAACAATGACAGTTAGAACATGATTCCTTAATAGTGCAACATTTCACAATGACAGAAAGATTCCTGACATCAATAGTTACAAACAAATTTGACTCTTGAACAATGAATCTAGCAACATTCTCTTCTAAATGAAACATCAGAAATGATACTTTCTTGGAAACCATTTAGTGCCAATTGTTGACCAAAATTTTGGATCAAATGGTCCCAGACAAACTCTGTCTCACGCTGGTTGACACAACTATAGGAAAAATAAGAGACATGTGGTGCAGAATGCATAGCAGAGTCCACAGAAGATTGCCAAGACGTCAAGTAATCAAAATCATTGTACAGTTCTTGTGACTTCGTCAACTCCAGTTTAACAAGTAAAGGGAGACAGTCAAGGTAACTAGAAAGGGAAAAGATGCCTGTTTGAGCTGGGAGTTCCACATACACATCCTTTCCCTCTACAAAACCTTTTCTAAACTTTGGTTGCAAAAATAAGATTTTTACACTCTCGCAGAAGGAAGAAGTCAGGCAGTTGATTTCTTTCATGTCCAGACCTCTACCTTGAATCCTCAAAAACAAACTAAAGGGTGATTTTTCTGCAGAGGATGACAAGAACATTTTTGAATCGGTGCCGTTATCAGAGTCTGCTCCAGATATATCACCCAATGAATCAAATGTGTGTATAACTAAGACTGCAGGTCTGTTAAATAAAGGAATCCTGTGAGTAAATAGATACAAATCTTGGCCAGCAAAATCCCTTATTTGGATTTCTTCCATTTATTCTTTTTTCAAACAGCACACAAGTTTATCAAGATACTGGATTCTCTTGTTGGCTCTTTCCATGTGTACCAAATTGACAAGAGAAATAACCTCAGCTTTTGCAAATGAAGATTTGCCTCCACTAACATCAGCTCTGTCTTGGGAGTGTAGGAAGACATTGGGGGTAATGATTTCTGTTTCCTTGCTGCCTACTTCATTACAAAAGGGAACACAGTTTTGGACATCAATAAAGCACTTTTCTGCCTCTTTTACCATGCCCAAGGACTGCTTTAAGATGCCCAGAAAACTGCTCCAAAACATGACATCAGGATGATTTAAACTCATTCCAAGATTTAACATCACATCTATGCCTTTCTGTATTTTCTCAACAGCTGACAAACGGAACTGTTTAAACCTCTGCAAGATCATTCCTACTTGAAAGTACATACTAGCTGTCTTGCAAGATACCTCACCACAGGATAATTTGAAAATAGCTTCTGCTTCTTGCAAGGTTTCTTGGGCTTGCTGAAAACTTAATCCTTCTTCAGAATACAAGAAGGCAAGTTTCAAAAGAATCTCTCCGACTTCTGGATGAAAGGGACTTAGCTTCTTGAAAATTGTTAAGGCCTTATTTAGGTATTCTGAGGCATCTTTGGCATTGCCCTTTAGCAGAATACAGGAACCCAGGACACTCCTGCACAAGGCAACTGAATAATGATTTTCTCCACCAAAACAAATCAAGATACCTTCAGCCTGTTTCAGTGTAGTCTCAGCATCATTAAACCTTCCAGAGCCATGCAGGAAGCAGCCCATTTGGTATAGTAATGATCCATAAAGAAAACTATTTTCACCATGGACAAGAAGGAAAGTACTTTGCAACTTCTTTAATAACTGAGAGGCTTCTTTGCATAGACCAATGCTGCGACAAATCTTTGCTGCAATGACAACAATTCTTATGAGCTCAGCATTCATTGACGTCTTACAAGCACCTGGTTTAGCCAGCAAAGCAAGTAAATGGTAGATAAAATCTTTCACTTCTTTGGCTTCAATTTTTTTATCCATTCCCTCAAGCTGGATTTTCATCAATTGTTTGGATAAAGCAGCTGTAGCAGCTTTGTCAGCACCTGGGATGTCAAAGTGAACAGCAGTTCTCAGAATCTTCTTCAACATTTGGTGGTTTCCAAACTCTTGTAACATGTTAGTAACTCTTCCCAGCAACTTCACTGGTAGTTGAGCATAATTTGTTGATCTCATAGAGATGTCATGACACAAGGAAGCTGCAGTGGTAGCAAGATTAGCCGCTTCTTTGTAGTTACCCAACGTCTTCTTCAGAACTGCTTGGTTCAAAGTAATTACTGCATCTTTAATGTTGTCCTGATGTTGACAGTAAAGTTTGGCCATATTAAAACAATCTTCGCTCTCCTCATAAAGTGCATTTTCACTGAACATCACCCCCAGGTTATTCATCAGAAGGGGAGCATTGGGATAGGATTGGTCGCAGTGATTTTTAATGTAGCTTTTTACCATTTCCAATGAAGTTTTGTCACCTCGGGCAAATCCAAAAGAACTTAGGACTGACATGTAGTTCACTTGGTTTAAATCATCATCCTCAAAGCAAGTCAGAACTAGGAACTCAGCTTGGTTATCACTCCATGGTTTCAAAATGGTCTCTCCAACATAGGAAAGCAATGAGTTGAAGGCATATTTATCCTCTTGGGAAACGGCCAGGTCACTTGGAGCAGTTGGCAAATTTTTAGCTTCCTCTTTTGTCACACTGTTCTCATGCCCATGCTGAGGATGAAAAACATCCTGAAGTTCCAAAAACAGGGACTTTAATTTTTCTTCCATTGTCGGCCAACCTCAAGTTACCTGCCAGTATGAAAGGATTAAAAAGCACTATAAACAACAAAGAAACAGAACAGACAGACAGGTCGCCGATGACGATGGCCAACTGAATATATTTTTCATAGCTCAGACAAACCCTGATTCTAGCTGTTCAAACAATTCATCCGATTTTTTTGCCTAAGTATATCAAACTAGGCTAGCAACAGATAGTTAGTACTGCATTGACGTTCAGTGATGTTCAAACTTTTGATCCCCATGCACCAGTGCTCTCCTTAGTAGGAGGTAAACGGTAAAATTTACCACTTGAAGCAACACTTCTTACCACCTGCAACCGCTTGAAGGTTTACTACAATTACAAAAGTAGTTTTAAAAAATATGCAAGTTTTGATCCGATCCGATGACAGCATTTTTTTTCATGTTTTCTTTTTACAGGAAAATTTGACAACAACACAACCTTTTGGTCTTTGATACCAGAAGGAAACTTCTGTTATTAAAGAGACCAACCTAGTACTGATTAAATAACTGTAACACTCTGCCATTAATTTATGTTGTTGTCCTGACTCACAAGATATTTAGCAACAAACTCTTTACCACCTATATTCAAGTCCAAAAACAGACTTCTGCAGAATTTTCATAAAAGAACAAGCAAAGGTTTGAAATGATAAAAGAACACAATGTATTTATGGGATGCATGCATCATGACAAACCAATAGGAACAGTTTAATAAAAGGAATTTTGATGTAGTTGTCTGAATTTAAAGAGAATAACGGGGACAGTGCTAAAAAGAGTGAAAAAAATAGAGATACTTGCCAGGCGGTTTTGAAAAGTTGCTAATATAACCACCGCTACAAAAACAACCCTAATTTATCTATATTTTTATGGCTATCTTTATGCTATCACATCTACTTTCATCCTATTTTATTCCAACTGAGTTTTACTTTAATCCTACATGTATTTTACCTGACAAGGAAAATTGAGCATCCATTTTATTTGCTTTACTTTTATTTTAAACCTATTTTGAAGCAAGTTAGAAGAGAGTGGTATATCTTATTTCTGTTTTCTCATAACATTCTGAAAATTGCTAAAGTAGGCTATGTCAATCCTATTTTAAATTCTAACAACTGGAATTGCTTTCTAAAATAGTGACAAAATAGGCTGTTTTATTTATATTTTTCTGCACATAGGAAAGATTATAGCCACTTGCTGAGGAAAATATACATAAAGTAGGCTATCAAAATTCTATTTTATCCAAGACAATCTTGAATAAAAAAATGGTAAAATAGATTACAAATAGACTGTTTTTTCTTGTTTTTGGAGAAAGATTTCATTCCATTGCAAATTTACTACCAACATGAGTTCATTGAAAATCCCATGAAATGTTCAGGAAAAATCCATGAATCTTTTTTCATTGTCTGCATGAATTTTGCAACTGACAATTTCATGGCCTTGGTTCGGCACCATCAATTTTCCATGAATTATTCTTGCCAAGCGAACAGCCGTAAGGCCACAAGCGGGGTTGCCTGCGTAGCAGGCGTCGAAAGGGGTAGGGGATAGGGAAAAAGGGAAAAAGGGAAAAAGGGAGGGGGTAAGGGAGAGAGGGGACGGGACGTATGCTATAAGAACCCCCTTTTATTCACTTCTAAATTCCTGATTGGCTGAGCCATAAAATGAGTAACTTATTTGTGTGTATCCTGGCGTTTATTAGTGTGAGAGACAAACAAGACGAAGGCATCAAGAAAATGTGTTCTACTGGCATAAGCTTTGGAAGATCAAAATTACTCCAATCATGTAGCAACTTCACATTAAAACCCGAACTAAAACAACCTGTAACAGCTTGTTTAGCAGGCAGAGATGCTCAGGAGGTTTTGTATACTGGATTTGTCCATACACTGAGCAGCGATTCAAAGCGATTGCGATTCTTGCCAGACATCTGCAATGCCAATTCAAAAGACCTCGTCTTCCGCAAAAACATATACCGTCTTGAATGGAGTTTTAAGTGGTTTGCAAAGAGAGAGCTGATCAAAGCTTTGGTAAAAACTATCCGTTGAGAATTTTGACAATTGTTTACAATATTCTCCTTTACTTTCATTATTCGCGTCACAGGCTGGCCAGCGTTCTGTTCTTTGTGACCAACACGGTGCTTGATGAGGTTGTAAGATAAAAGGTCTTGTGTATTCACACGAAACTGATCATTGTTTGTTGTAGACTGCAAGAAGTAAAAAAATGAGAGACTGCTCATAGTCTATGTTTGTTGTGTTTGCTGTGGGAGCAAGAACAGTAAAAATGTTTCATTTCGCTCGATTATGATATCACTTGAAATAAGCGTCTCAACTTGGGTAAACAAAGTAATTAAGTTCAGACCATGCTGAGAAGCCCTGTACTTGTGATTGGTCACGTATTGACAGTGACATTATCGGATAAGTTGAGAAAATGGTGGGCAGATTACAAAAACACCCGCTCTTATAGCAGGCGCTCCCTTCCCTTTCCCCTCTTTCGTGCTTTTCTCCCTCCCCCTCTCCCTCCCCTTTTTGCGCCTGCCACGCAGGCTACAAGCGGGGCAAGTTAATAATCTTGTCACGCATAAAGCATGTGAGTATCACGTGGGTTGCGTGTCATCTTAGTGGCATGCAAACTTGGCTGGCCCATATATATTTGTTTGTTTATTTTATTTCAATTTTGTTCCGTAGTTTCCTCTACTTTATTTCTATTTTATTTCTATTTTAATGATAGTTTTTAGTTATTTTTTCTCTATTTTATTGCTATTTGATATTTTGGCAGTTTTCTGTTTCAGACTATTTTAACACTATTTTTCTCAGAATTATATACTATTTTAAGGCTATTTTTCAACAATAATTTTTTCTTATTTTTTGTTTCAAAATAACGGGTTCAAAATGAATAAAAATATCTTTAAAAAAGCACTTCATAGTGCTTAAAAATAGAGAGAAAAATAGGATGGAAAATAGAGGTAAAATATATATAGGCACTATTTTTGTAAGGGAAAACTGTCAATACAAACAGAAATTGTGTACCCGTTGACCGGTTTTCTAACCGAGAAAGCACCAAATTGCAGTTCAACTGCAGTTCAAGAGGGAATTAAAAAAAAATTGTTTATTTAAATCTCACCAGGTTGATATTCTGTAAAAATTACCATTGCAAATTATGTCGCATTGTGGTTAGATTTGGCGACACTCAACTCAAGCGTCTGCATTTGTTTTTCAATCAACACATTTCAAAAAGAAAAATGGATAATTTAGTGATCCTATGGAAATAAAATACTCTGGGGGTGTTTTTGACGCTGTTCACAGGCACTCACAGCACATGTTTTATCACTGTTTAAAAATTCGAGCACAAAGCTGTCCGTGTTTTAAACATTACAACAAAGGCTAAACCACCTGCCTTTACGCTTGGGTGCCACACACAAATTCACTGATTGCCTTGTTCTACCTACTACATGAACATGTATTTAATCTATTATGAATATTCACTGATTGAGCACAGTTTGTTTTGTTTTGTTTTTGTGCCGCAAGGCTATCCACATTGTAGTAACCCTATCACTTCAAGACAAGTTATAGTCAAGGATGTGAGAGTGCGTACTACACTCAACAAGGGATTCCTGAGGACCAACGTGGCCATACATGCGCACTAGGATCAGTCAAGCATGTGCTTTTTCAAAGAGTTCATTGCATGTTGCGTTGGTCTTCTTTCACTTTGTACATTCATTTCCTTGACGTTAAGCTGCCACGGTAAGGTCATTATTTTGTATTACTGTTTTAATGTCTCAGTTAGGTTTAGTTTAGTTTTTGTCCTCATAATTCAGTACAAGGCCTTTGCATTGTAACCTATGTTGCGACGAGTCAACTCTCAGAATCAGTGCAGCTTTCACATATGCCGTCTCTAGTTATAGTCAGCAACACAATACTACATCTTACACTGTATATGGTAACCTTGTGATTATTTTCAATTGCATTCCTTTTCGGTAATATCATTTCATGTCTATTAATTTCTTTAATTTCCATAGGTTTCTGGTTGTATATTAAATAAACAGTGCGCATATTGCATACCGGTAACAAAAGATCCCGTATTATGGTCACAATGATAATAAATAATATTGAGTAGATTAAGAACAAGGCAGCGATACATGTAGGCTGATGCAATTTGTTGATGAAATCCCACCATGTTACATGTACCTTCCATATGAAATCTGGATGACGTAGAAATTTTACATATACTAAAGAGTGTTTTGAGAATTTTATTTTGGCCACCGCTGTGAGTTATAAGGTTAGTTACATGCATGGTGGAATTAGTTTCTTGATGTGACTTAACAACAAAAATTAATAAAGGTTCGCTAGTTTTAGAGTGGACAAGTCAAGCGAAATTACGATGCTGTGATTATATTTTATAAAAATAATAAAAAATTGCATGCAAGTTTATAACTATTATTATGTGAAATTTACCTTTAGGCCCTCTTATTTCTTTCCATCTGTCAAAGTGTCAATTGCATTACAAAAGCAGTCTAACTAATACCGAGAACTGTACACACAAAAAACTTACATATTTATCTCTCTAAAAGGAAATAAATCAACCAAAAAACTCCCATCACTCGTGCTTTCTTGATCCAATGAATGAAGTTGGAAAAACACCCTAGAGAATTTAAGAAAATAGAATCATTTGAAATAAGTGGAAAGTAAGGAACCTTTTCTCATCATTTTACACATACATTTTTATCGATATCATTATTTTGTGCATATTACCTCCCATAACTACTTTGTTTTGCCCCTTAATATACAGTGTAGCATGTTAAAAAAAAAAAAAAAAATTAAAAATTTCATCACAGCAGTATCTCAGGATGCTCGGCCTAAATGTAACTGTTATCCTGGTCATGTGATCAAGTCTAATTTCGTTCATCTCCTGTCACTTTAATGTCTGTCAGGTTTTGTTCCATAATAGACACATAACCTAAACTAGTTTTAAAAATATCAGTGGCAACTTTAGGACCCGTTTTTGAAGCACATTCGATTATTAGACTAGCGTCTAAACACTACAACTAATCTTAGCAACCTTAAAATAAATTACAAGCTTAAGGTCCTTCAAAGGCAAATACCTGAACTTTAATAGTGCTAGCAATGACACTAGATCATTATTATTAGATGTCAAGTGAATTCTATGGAAGAAAATATATTATATGCAAACAGGTAAGTGTATTATTCTTGGGAATTTTCCTGAAGCAAGTAATAATGATACATGCACTTCTTTAAACAGACTACTTAGGTTAGGTAACTTGCACGAGAGGAGAATTTTCTGCAATTGTGTTCTCACGAGACACCAAGACACTGAAGCATGTAAGATGCACTTTTTCCAGTAATGCTGCCCTGTATTAAGCACAAAGATTCCCAAGGGCACACAGAAGAAAGAAAAAAAAAGAAAAAAGGAATTACAGAACGTAACTAAACAATGATCATGCAAAAACACATATACATGCATGACTACATCTACTAAAATTAATGTACCGTAAATGATCTAATATACGCCTGGGGCGTTTATTTAATTTTAGGGGTCCAAGAGGTTTATTCTCGTAACTTATTTTAATGAACTCAACAAAACTGTATGCAGTATGCTTTCCACCAAAAATGTTTTGGTGTTAACAGAATCTCAACCGTGGGCTGACAGCTTATCCTTACTTTGAACTGGAAATTGATCATGGCATGACACACAAACCGATGTTAATCAAGCAATGAGATTAACAAACTGATTGATTTTGCTCTATTTCGCCATTTCCGAGTATTTTGGATCAATTTTCAAGAGGGGCATTTATTAGATAAGAGGCGTTTATTTGAGAGTGGGTGTTTATTAGATCATTAATTACGGTAAGTAAAATTTTTAATGTTTATATTGATAATGTTGTCAAAACTTAGGCCCATCAAAATAATGACTTCTGTGTTTGATTGTGTGTAAAATGATGCACTCTGAAGCTCCACTTATCTTTTTAAATGTTCACTGTATACTGATGTTTGATTCATGACCAAATAGACAACATAATTGCAAGTTGCAAGTGCTAATTATGTCCAAGGCTGGATGCTGATGAAAATACCTAAACATAAGGTCAAACAATGCAAACCACTTAACAATGAAATGGAAGATTAAGACAGCTGCCTTTTATTTGTGACTAATCCGGAATATTCTGGCACCAGTTTCTTTTTTCCATTTACAAACAACAGCCACTTGAATCTGAAACATTAAAGGTCCCGCTTAATGGTCAAGGGTCACAGATTTTGAATCCTAAAACTTAAATGAATACTTTTTACCTGAATGAATGAATGTCCTCGCAAATCCAAATAAAGTAAGTGATGTCTAAAAACATTTATTTTATGACATGAAAAAATCTCCTTGAATGTATTTAGCCCTTTTAAACCTCGGGTTTTCTTTTCATCACCTTCCTCTATGGCCAAAGACAGGCTTGATGTTAATCTCAGAGGTGTCAAAAGTTTTTTCTGCTGCATTTTTCTCACCATTCTTTCTATTAGCACTTATTAGCTTTAACTGTCACTAAACGAATAATGATGCTTTCTAAATAAACACTGTTAACATTTTTCACATATGGATTCAATTAAACTGCCAGCTTTTTGCATGAACGCATTTTGAACACAATATAGCACGGCACATACAACAAACATCATCTTTCAAGAGATAATTAACTGTAATTCCTTAAACTTTCAAAGCAAGCGTCAATTTTATTTGCAAAACTTATTCAGTTTGCACACTAGCCATACAATGTAAATCAAAGCTCAGTTATACAACAAAACTGCTGAACATTATTTAAAGGCTAATTTTCTTGTACACATGTTAGTAACTGAAGACTAAGTTTAACGGACCTATTGGCAAGACCATTTTTACCACTGAGTATACATGTATGCATTGGAGAAAAGTAGGAGGAGGGCGTAAGCGGGGTATGAACACCGCAAACTGACTGCACAGAAATAACAAGAAAACCACAAACCGCATTGAAAATTACCCAAAAATGTCTAAATACTGCAAACCACTTCGTTTTGTAAAACAGCAATACTGCAACTTGAAATAAAAATTTTCGCAAAACCAGACCAAAAATCAAACAAAACCGCATCACTGCAAACTCAGTTACATCACCTCAAATGGAGTAAAAACAATAAAACAATTTTGACATTTTTTACAAGCCAATGTTTTCATCTTTACAGATAGAATGTAATCTTCACAAAATGCCTGCAATCTACACCTTTTGTAGACAGACAACAGACAACTAATACTGACTTTACTACACGTATAATATAGTACACTTTGGTGGAAACTAATGTGCCGTATATAACAATTCAAGCAATGGCTACACAATTTGGCAATATCGTAGTTTTGTCAATGTTGAAATGGATTCAGGATTTAAGGGCAAAGGGAGGAATTTTGAGGTCGCAAAATAATTATTACTGGCACTTCAGCTTAGCTGACGCAGTCTATACTGTTAATACTGCCCTCCTGCTAAGGAATTTGACCTTAACACCTTTAACTAACTGATCTTAGCCATTCTTTGAATGCCATTAAACAGCACCTTTAGTAAAAAGTCCTGCATTCCTACTATTTCCATAACTTTAATTAGTGATTTTATTTTTGTGTAAGAGATAAAGGTTAATCTTATTGACCGCTCAAAACAAGCACATAAGGGTTTAACAAAAAGGCATCATAACCACAAGTTCACAAATAAAACTTTTAAGAATCAGCCTCAGAGCACTGAAGTGACAATTGTTGGATGTAAACTGGGTTCAAAATAAATTTTTGACTGTTGCCGGTGATGCTGACTAACCAAAGCAATTTCAGCTCAGTCAAGTCTGTTTTTTGACCAGTTAAATCTAAAATATTAAAAATAATACAAAATGTAGCTTAATTAACGAGCAAAAACATGATTCTTCCTATTGAAAAGGCACACTTGAGTGTAACTGTCCAGTCAAGCAAACTGAAAGTTTGTCTGGGCAAATTGTCACCTTGGCCAGACATAAAGTTCGTAGACTGGCCGTTATTTTTAGCCCTAGTCATCAAAACTGTCAGCATCATTAGGATTTTTCTTTTGCGCTACGCTTTAAGAACATTTGAAAAGATATTTAGCCCTAGTAAATATCCCTAATTTTATTGATCCCTGTCAATATTCACAACATGTCTGATGCATTATCAGTTTAATTTATTACTTGTCAGCTTGAACATAATCTGCACCAAAGACAAAACTTACTCTGGATAAGTCTGTCTGCAAAACAGTGCCAAAATCCTTCTTGAACAAAATGACAAAATTTTTGGAAGAATTTGAATATCAGAGTTACATTTTGAAGACAATGTGCTTACTCTTTAAGTGTGACAAATTCCTTTCATTAGACCTACTGCAAGACAAATGCATGGAAATTTCCACATTTTAATGGCAAAATGATAATAAATAAATAGAAAATAAATAAATAGTTTCACCCTAAATATCTCAATACATGTTTATATATAGCCTCTCCTTTAGGTTTCTCATTTGAGCTCAGCTGTAGCAGCAGGTCTATATGCTCTAATGTAAAGCTGGTAGTCAACTTAGTCTTACACAAAGCAATTGGAATGATTTCACTTGAACCGTGAAATAGGTAGTAGAATACTATGCACTATTATGCACTAATTCTATTATGGTCTTCTTGTTTACCTCTCGCTATTTTGCAATATTTGTTAGCATCTGTTCCAGAGTTCAAGTAAAATCACTCTAAAGTTCTTTTCATATCAATGCACGATCTACAAACCAAGGTCAAACACACTCTTCGATCAATCTTAATTGCCCACGCTATGGGAAAACGCTGGCAAAAAAATTCCATTCCCAGTAACTCTTGGAAGTGTATTATTCACAGTGCATGCAACGATAATTCCCAGCAAACTCTTGTCTATTCCTGCCATTTTTAAGTTTAAGAAGTAAGAAAAGATTTGACCAAAACTTTACATTTACTGTACTTTCTGATTATAAGTATTCACACTATTTAAAACAACATGAAATTAAACATAGAAAAAGCAGCTTAAATTGTTCACAGGTAAGTTAGTTCAAAAACATACGCTTAGCATGTTATTTGCTGTCTCTGTTTGTTTGCTTTTTTTCCCACATGCGTATAAATGCTAGCCTGTGAACAGGCTCTATTGGCATAAACTATGCAGGCAAATTTTGAATAAAAAAGCCAGTATGTGACTTGATGTAGACTGCAGATTTGCAGACTGGCACGTAAATAGGTAAGCAACGTTGTGAAGTGATCTCAAAACTACCCGTGAAATGCCAGTCTGCAAGCCTGCACTAAGCCTTTCTTTTGTACTCCAACTCATGCACAACCAGGTAACTGATGAAAATGTCTGCATGAAAAACGACTAGGAACAAATTCGAGACGATAAGAAACGTCTAGAATGATATGACAATGTCTATAATAATTCCCACAAAAATGCAGCACGTTTTCACACAAAGATGAACGAAGAGAAACATTAAATGGCAATGAAAGCAAAAACAAATTAAAATTTTGATTAACAAAAAGAGTAAACGACTTGAATATTACTTTATGTTGAAGGGAAAGATAT